TGGGAGGGTTGGGGGTTCTCTTCAGTGCAAGTAGGATATTTACCAGCATCCTTGGCATCTATCCACTAGATGTCAGTATAGCCTCTTCCTTGGCCGTGACAACCAAAAATAACTCCAGACACTGTAAGATGCCTTTAGTCCCATCTTCTGTTAGGAGAAGTAGGCTACCTAAACCACAGAATCAACTTCAGGAATATGAAGAGACCTACTTAGCAAAAACACAGTAACAATATAGTGTTAACACTGCAAAGAACGCATGAAAAGGATTTTAACAATGTGTAAGCCGAGACTTCACAGCATGGTTGACTCAAGAGCAACATTAAAAAGGATGTGAATTTCTGTTTGAGAAGGAAAAAATACTAGAGACAATAATAATGTAAAATGGTAAAAACACAAATAGTTTCTTTTCAATTATATGTTTCTTCAGTAAATGTTTTTTTATGCAACCTGTTGAACAACATTTTAAGGTATTGAACTTTGACAACACATGTGCCGATTTTTTAAAAAGGTTTTGCTGTTTAATTATAAACCAAGAATTTGGGACTTGCAGAGATGTGTTATTGCAATAACATACTCTTTATATTTGTAACTTGTATGTGTTACAACATTACTATAAACAAAATGCAAGTGGAGGATTAATAAAATGAGCATTTTAATTTCACAGTGGACTACCATTTTTTTCAAATGGTTTCAAATGTCATTATTCTTAGGGTGGAGAAGATGACAAAATCAATGTTATTTTAAAGATTTAAGAGGAAGATTGGTATTGACAAACTTGTCCAAATTTTCCTCAGATAACCTTAATTTAACCATCTAGTGTTCAGTGAAGACCCACACTGTCAGGCCCTATGCACAACAGTTGTCTGTTCTGAGACAGTTTGGAGGTAGGACTGGTGGAGGGTTTTTTTTAATGAACCCAGAGCAGTTCAGAGAGGCACTTTCCTCCTCTGTGCTCCCTGACAGTTGCCCTGCCAGTGCCCTCCTTGGCCTTTAGAATCCTTTCCTCTCTCCCCATTGGTGCCCTCCAGTTCTGAGTCATCATTGGTTTCCATGGTGAGTGTCCATGGTGCATCATTGTCCTCCAAACGAACATTTGGATGAACATTTGGATGTTAGGTATTGCGAGTATCTCTAAGTGCTTTTGACCTTAGGTTTAAGGCATAAGCGGTAAGTTTAAAAAAAATAAGTCTCTGAAATAATTGTAGAGGCCAGGTAATCAAGGAGCCTGGGCTTCTCATATTCATCCTTTTCAGGAAACCAACTAGGGACCTATTTGGCTTCACTTCCCTTGAAGTGTTTCTATGTGAGAAGAGTCCCTCTTCTTTCTCTGGCAGTGAGCAATCTCTGTATCATTTCTCTTGGTCTCTCTCATCTTTGTTCTGTCTTCATCGTATCTTTTCTTTAACTGCCTCTTAAAGTGGAAACTTAGGTTGTTGATTTTAGATCCTTCTTTTTAACAAAATATCTGAAGCTGTCTTCTAAATTGCTTATAGAGTGGTAATTGGATTTAGAGCAGAGTTTCTCAACCTTAACACTGTTGACCATTTTGGACCCTGTAATTCCTTGGTAGGGGTAGGGGTGGGAGGGTTGGGGGTTCTCCTCAATGCAAGTAGGATATTTACCAGCATCCTTGGCATCTATCCACTAGATGTCAGTATAGCCTCTTCCTTGGCTGTGACAACCAAAAATAACTCCAGACACTGTAAGATGCCTTTAGTCCCATCTTCTGTTAGGAGAAGTAGGCTACCTAAACCACAGAATCAACTTCAGGAATATGAAGAGACCTACTTAGCAAAAACACAGTAACAATATAGTGTTAACACTGCAAAGAACGCATGAAAAGGATTTTAACAATGTGTAAGCTGAGACTTCACAGCATGGTTGACTCAAGAGCAACATTAAAAAGGATGTGAATTTCTGTTTGAGAAGGAAAAAATACTAGAGACAATAATAATGTAAAATGGTAAAAACACAAATAAGTTTCTTTTCAATTATATGTTTCTTCAGTAAATGTTTTTTATGCAACCTGTTGAACAACATTTTAAGGTATTGAACTTTGACAACACATGTGCCGATTTTTTAAAAAGGTTTTGCTGTTTAATTATAAACCAAGAATTTGGGACTTGCAGAGATGTATTATTGCAATAACATACTCTTTATATTTGTAACTTGTATGTGTTACAACATTACTATAAACAAAATGCAAGTGGAGGATTAATAAAATGAGCATTTTAATTTCACAGTGAACTACCATTTTTTTCAAATGGTTTCAAATGTCATTATTCTTAGGGTGGAGAAGATGACAAAATTAATGTTATTTTAAAGATTTAAGAGGAAGATTGGTATTGACAAACTTGTCCAAATTTTCCTCAGATAACCTTAATTTAACCATCTAGTGTTCAGTGAAGACCCACGCTGTCAGGCCCTATGCACAACAGTTGTCTGTTCTGAGACAGTTTGGAGGTAGGACTGGTGGAGGGGTTTTTTTAATGAACCCAGAGCAGTTCAGAGAGGCACTTTCCTCCTCTGTGCTCCCTGACAGTTGCCCTGCCAGTGCCCTCCTTGGCCTTTAGAATCCTTTCCTCTCTCCCCATTGGTGCCCTCCAGTTCTGAGTCATCATTGGTTTCCATGGTGAGTGTCCATGGTGCATCATTGTCCTCCAAACGAACATTTGGATGAACATTTGGATGTTAGGTATTGCGAGTATCTCTAGTGCTTTTGACCTTAGGTTTAAGGCATAAGCGGTAAGTTTAAAAAAATAATAAGTCTCTGAAATAATTGTAGAGGCCAGGTAATCAAGGAGCCTGGGCTTCTCATATTCATCCTTTTCAGGAAACCAACTAGGGACCTATTTGGCTTCACTTCCCTTGAAGTGTTTCTATGTGAGAAGAGTCCCTCTTCTTTCTCTGGCAGTGAGCGATCTCTGTATCATTTCTCTTGGTCTCTCTCATCTTTGTTCTGTCTTCATCGTATCTTTTAACTGCTTCCACTTGTCTCTGCACCTTTCTTGGTCTTCTTTCCCTCTGTCTTTGTCACCTCTCCACAATTGTTTCTTGCCTTCTCTTTGTCTAACATCTCTTTGTCTCTCTTTCACTGCCTTTTCTCTCCCTCTCTCCTGTGTGCCCCTTCCCCTCTCTGATTCCCACATATCCTTTCTCCCCATCAGGATCTTGTTCTAGATATTATCAGTGATATTGCCATTTCCGCTTCAATAAGGAACACAATCCTGTTTATTAAGGGGATTTCATATTTCTTCTCAAAAACCTTATTTATTATATAGTCGGGGTTGCACTGTTCCCCCAGTTCCATTCCCCTTTTGCCTGGGATCTCCTGATGTCTCCTCTTGATAGTTAATTTCAGTTCAGGGCATTATCAGTCTCCATGGTGGGAGTCCATGGTGCTTTCTTCTTTTTACGTGTAGTTAGAAGGACGGTTTGTTTTTGAGGTTCCCTGAGTGTCTGTATATGTCCTCCGTACTGTTGTTTTTCAGGTTTAAAGGGTTAAATTTATGTAAGTTGAGTCTAAAAATTCAGTGTGGGAGCTACAGTAACCAAGGAACTGAGCATTTCCCTATTTATTTTTCCCAAATAGCACTGCAAGGGCCAAATTTGCTTTCTTTCCCCAGCATTGTTTTTCCTATAAAGAGTTCTGATATGAGAGATGTTCCTCTTTGTTGATTAGTATTTTCTCCCTCTCTCAGTACTTCACTTACTGACTTTATCACACTCACTTCCTTTTTCAGATGTCTCTGTAAGTGAGTTTTTCCTTTCTCCCTTTCTCCATCAGTTCTTTATGAATGTTCAAGCACTGAGGCAAATGACATTGGTTGTCCCAGTGAGTAGTTTGAAATGGAAACTTATGCATTTTCAGCCCCTGCTGCCTTCTTTAATTATTTCATCTCTCAAAGATACTTTTCTTATTCTGAGCGACTTTGAGAGTGCAGTTGAAGAAAATAATCACTCTAAGTCAGCAATTTTCAACTGGTGTGCTGCAATTAAAAAAAAATAAGAATATGTATTTACCATAATCAGAGGTGCTTACCTCTTTTTCCTTAGATTGCCAAATTAAAAAATTGACAACAGCCAACACAATAGAGGTCAGGTGTGAACGAATCAAAATTATGCCTATTTTAAAATCAGATGTGGCAAATGTTTTTGGTGTTCCACAGAATTGTAATAATCAGTTTGTGTGCCATGAGATAAAAAAGGTTGAAATATCGCTACTCTTGAGTGGGAAGTATTCCCCTATGCAGAGGGCAGAGTAGTTATCTGGGTTTTGAGGTAGTTCATTCTTCTGAAAAGGAGGTGAGCCCCAGGCCTGTGTTATATTTTACCTGTCTTTGTTTTTATTTTCTTCAAGGAGTTGGAGAGAAACAAGGCGAACAAAAATGTATACTGCTTGCCTTGAGAAATTCCCATTAGCTAAATCTAGTCATCAGGTGACTTGTTCCGAAAGTTCGCTCCGCCTAGCCTGTCGCGTGCTTTACAGGTTTTCTAACTAATGTCCGGTGATATTGGGTACAGTCTGCGGGGTAGGGTGCAGCCGAGGCCAGCTTCCAGCGCACTGGAAGTAGGCTCCGAGCCCCGCCCCCAGGCACGCGGGCCAATGGGTTGGGCCCGAGAGGCGGGAGGAGTGTGGGTGGGTGGGGCAAAGCCAGGGGCGGGGCGGCGGCCCGCGGAGGTGGAGTCAGCCGGGGCAGTGCTGGAACGTAGCTAGTAGGACTGCGGCGGTGGCGGCGGCTCGGCTGGGCGTCCGCGGGTCTTGGGAGATGGGGACGACGAGCTCCAGCCCTCGGAGGAGGCGTCGGCGGCGGCCGTGAGTGTTGGGCAGGCACCCGCGCCCGAGACGCGGGATGACCACTGAGGTGAGTGCGGGGCGGCGGCTCTGTCCCTGGGCGGAGGTCACCCGCTGCGGCTATCCTCGAGCTGACGACCAGGGTCCGGGCGTCCCACGCGGTGGCCCGGAGCTGCGGCGGCCCGGAGCTGCGGCGGCTGCGGTGTGCGCTGGAGGTTGGGCCAGGGTCCGAGGAGCGAGGTGCTTGCAGCTCCTTCAGCGGAGGAGCCGGAGGGCGCTGAGCATATGAGGATGATAATAAAAGTAAAACATAGCAGGTCCTACAGTCCGCACCCTGCTCTAAGAGTGCTCCCAGTTTAACTTCTTTAATCCTCACAGGTCCGAGATTACTTCACTCGTAACCTCGGGGAAACGGGAGTTAAAATCCTGCTGGAATATGACCAGTAATCGGCAGAGTGCGTATTTAAACCCAGGCAGTTTTGCTTCTTGACCGTTACATAGTCTGCTCTTGCTTCTGATCTCGTCCTGCTGCCACCTGCCCTGACAACAGCCCTCCTCACTTCAGCTGGTTCTCATTCCTGAGATATTTTAGGATTTCCGTGGTGCATTGTTTTCCTCTTCTCTGTCTTTGGTTTGAGGAGGGTTGTTTCGTTCCACCTCAGTGGTTTTTCCCAATTCTGCAAGCATTTGGGGCTTGACAGAATTTTTGGGTTTTTGGTTTTTTTTTTTAATTTTCTGGCGGATGAGTTCAAGTCAGACTTTTCAAGTTGGAGCCCTAGTAACTGACGCCTTACGTCTCCATGTTATTCTTTTTATTTATTTTTTATTCTCTTTCTCTAGAAGGAGTCGGCCTCATACCTTTTTGGAGGGCAGACTGTTAGCGGGTGGACAGAGCCGAGTGCTCCTTCCCCTTTCTCCAGCTGTCTCGGTGACGCTATTTGTGGTCCCTCACTATCAGTGTTCGCCTCCCTTTTTGCTCCATTTTCCCACTTTGTTTTTAAAACCTGGGTTGGAGAATGTGCTCTTTGGCATTGGGTAATTTGGGCTGGTAAAGGGAGAGAGCCCTGCTTGCCAGGAATGCTAGACATTCTGGAGGCGTGGGAGGTTGTGCAGCTTCCTCTTTTTTAAACATGCTGCATTCTAACTGCACAGGAATGAAGCGTGTGTGTATTGCATGTCTTTCTTTAGAAATTACATTTATTTGCATATTGCTAAAACTTTGACATGCCCCCATCCTCTTTGTGGAGAGTGTTTTTTAAAAATATAAAAACTTCCAGAATGATTTTTTTCTGATTTATTTGCATTTTAAAGTAGATTCTTACCAAATCAGAAATTGTGCTGAAATAGCAGATTTCTGAAATAACTGGCAGTTTTTTTCTTGAAGTAGAAAGAGTAAGATGAGAACTATTAAGTATAGCTATATGGGGCAGTTTTATTCTTCAACTAGCCCAGTGCTTAAGATGAAAATACTTCTGTAATGATACATTTGGGGGTGGAAGGAAGTAAAAGGGGCATAAGACATGAACACAGGCTACTGAAGTCTTGGAAAAGCCACTTTCCAGGGTACTGGAAGTTAGTGTTCAGGTTTCTAATGCACATATTACTCAAAATTTATAACATAACAAAGTTTTGCACAGTAATTTACTGTTTGCTACAAAGTTCTTTCAGGAGTGGATAAAACACATTTTGAATGTTGATCATGGTTTGGAGTTAAAAGTGATATATGAGAATGCATCAGGAAAGTTTAACATATTATGCTTAACAACAACCTATTTGCACAGTTCAGACTTCACTTGGAAGCAATTTAATAGGTTTCCAGGAAGTCAATTAAGTTTCTGGAATTGTTCCTAGTCCTATATTTCTTATTCACGTCTGTTATATATTCTAGTATCTTGTTTATTTCTTGTATTAAAAAATAATCTCCCACAATAAAGCATCGCTAGAAATAATGACTAGTAGTTAATGAGTCTTCATGATGAGCCAGGCACTGTGCTAAGTGCTTTCCATATTATTACTTCATTTAATTAAATTGCCAGTTGCAATCTGTTACTAACTACATTTTATGTTACACCAACTAGAGGATGGTCATTTTGGGATATGGGAAAGTAGTGTGGAGGATCTTGAAAAGTATATTCTCTAGACTTTCTTATTAATCATAGTTTAATGAAAGCTTAAATTAAGTTTGTTATTAAAAAATTTTTCACCTGTAGTAAAGGATGTATAGCAAAATTAGTACATTACTCACCATAATGCTGACTAGAGGTAGATTATAACCCTTTTTAGTTGCTTCTTTCTCTGCTGTGTTTTGTTTTTTTGTTTATAGGTTTTCTTAGTCTTGTCTAAAAATGTTTAAGAAGTTTTGAAACACTTTACAACTTTGGGTTACTAATATGCCCTTGTTGAATTTTTTTTTTGGCTGAGATAGGTGAATGGAACCTGTGATATCTTTAATTTTTATAATCACCTTTTTACCAGTGACAATGACCAGTTCTCTAATATATTAAACTAAAAGCCATCAAAATTAATCAGAATTACTTTATTAATAGTCTACAAACTATTAATAAGCTACAGACGTGTTAAATAAGCTAATAGTCTACAAACAAGTAAGCTACAAACGTGTTAGATTAGATTAATAGACTTCTCAATTAGTGATTTGTGAAAGAGCTGTCAAAATAACACATCTGAGTGCTTTGGGGTTTTTGTTGTTGGGGAGACTTCGGTATAGTAATAGTTCTTTAAAAATTGTTCTACATTCATTTTAGAAATTATCTACAGATTTAAGGATTAACATTAGATAGGTTTGAAACTAGTTCAAATGTAGAAATTACGTTCTCAGAAATACTTTGGAATTCACAAGACTATGCAATAGAGAACTTTGAAAACTTTTAGAGAAGTGTTGGGACACCTTTAATAATCAGAGGTAGAGAAACAATAATAGAAATTCAACTTTGATTTCAGTTTCATGTAATCATGCCTTTACTCAACTTCATATGCTTGTTTTGTTTTTTGAAAGACGGTTTTAGAGAAGATTTTTAAAAACCATTGATATTTTCTATTCAAAACACTGCAACAATCTGTAGTTAACCATTTTTGTTTCTATAAAAATTAAAACTATAAACTTATAATCTCATTATTCTACACATAGCTGTGAGTAGTTCATGCTTCACATGCCACATACTGTGCTGTGAACAGAGAACAAATGGTTAGCAGACAGATGTGGTCTTGATTTCCTTGAGTTTATCATTTAGATAGGAAGATGTGAACCTTATAAGTATTATAAGGTTTATGAAAAGTATAAGTATACTATAAAGCACCTAATAGGAGATTCCGCTCTAGTTTAGTGGTGGTGGTGGTGGTCACTGAAGGTGAGGACAAGGGGTGGTCCAGGAAGGCTTCTTTGAGGAAGTGATCTTTGAGCTGAGATTAGAATGAGTAAACAAAGGGAAAGGAATGATTCAGGCTCCCTAAATTGAACAGTGTTTTTCAAGTCGTAGGATCATGGTTATGAGTATGAAACCAATTTGGTGGGTTGCAGCCAACATTTAAAAAAATGAAATGGGATACTGTAGAAATTATCTGAGTATATCACCTGGCTCCTTAGCCAGAATCTATTTTCTCTTTTGTGCATTCCTACACATAACACCACACACAAACATACATACTTAACATGTATGCTGGCCTGTAATACAAGTTATTTCCTACTCTGGGTCACAAACATCGTTGTATGTTTCAGGAGTGTTGACTAGGAATCTTGACTCCAGAGGACATTGCAGAGGTAGGTAGGAGCCATATCTTATGCTGAGCCAGCCTTGTAGTGCACGATAGCGTATTACTTATCCTTTGGAAGAGTTTTCTGGTTTTGAAAAGTGTAATCCACACTTTGGAGTGGAACAAGGATGATGCGGAGAGATCATTAGGAAATCAGTAACAGTAGCTCAGGCAAAAAATGACCGTAATTCACCTAGAGTGGTGGTAGAGATAGAGGTGGGAAAAAATATATAGAGTTAGGTGAGGTGTAGGAAAGAGTAGATGACACAATAATATATCTTACACGTGACTTGGAAATGAATATTACATACAGTTTTCTACAGTAAATTTTACAGAAGTCCTTAGTAATTATGCCATTTTGGAAGTATCCAAATATTCAAGACACAATATTTGAAAAATGTTTTAATGATGATGCCTGAGCTGAGTTAATTCCACAATTTCCTTTTTGATTCCAAGAGATACAAACAAAATTTGGACTTTTTCTTCTGGAAAGGTAAAATGTAAATGTGAATCAGAAACAGAGATTTTCTTGAGTTCCAACTTTGTTCCAGGATTAGGTGTTTTAACATATGAAGTCTTTCGTGTCTCCTTTTAACCCTCACACTCAGCCTGTAAGCATATTGCACAGGCCACTTGTTTAGAAAGTATTCGGCCAGGATTCGAATCCAAATCTTTTTTATTTTAAAAGATCGTTTTTTTACTATATCACTCTGAAATTACTAAAAACAATGCCCCGATAATCATACATGAATTTGTACAACCAGTCCAGGTGCGTCACGTTAGTGGGCACCCTCACAACTTATTTTCAACAAAGGAATTTTCTCACTGAAATTTGATAACCTAGATTATGTCTGCTCACGTATGTATGTATGTATGTATGTATTATTGAGAACTAAATGTAATCAAACTTCTTTTATGTGTTGGAATGAACACTTCCACCCTACTGTCTCTTTTAATGCTTACAATAATCTCATGAGGTAGGTATTGTCAGGATGTTATTCCCATTTTATAATCAGCACACTGAGGTAAAGGGGTAATTAACGGTTTATCGGGTCACACACAGCAGGTGATAGGGATTTTGGAAACAGGTCTTTTCCCAAAGCTCCTATTTCATGGAGGGAGAATATGCCCTTCGGCTAAGTGATATTTTGGGAAAAGTTTTACAAATTACAAAAATTCTGTTACATCTAGGAGCATTGATTTTAGTAGCAAAGAAGATAAGGGTTTAAGTACCAGTCCAGCATTTATCAGCTCAGAGCTTAGAGAAATTATTTAATATCCAAACCTCGGGTTCTTTAGAGAAATGAAGAGAGTACTAGTTTGCATATCACAAAGTTGTCAAGTTTATTGGCACCAAACTAATAGAAGCTGCTACTATTAGTAGTAGTACAGTACAGTGTTGGTTGTGGTGGTTGGTTTTAATAGAATACTGAGGTGGGCTATGGGCTGTTTGTGAAAACTTAGTAGAATGTTCCCCTGGTTGATGTAGTGTTGTGTTTCTCTTTTTTTTTCTCACCCCTTTAAGGATTTCAGTTTTTCTGACTGTTCTGTGAAAGAATGATTTCTCACAAAAAGAAAAAGAAAAAACGTTTTTTATCATCAGGCCAGCCTCTTACCGATGATTCGTCTGAAATGGGGCTCAAGTCTATAAGTTCCAATTCCGTTTTTGATCCGGATTACATCAAGGAATTGGTGAACGATATCAGAAAGTTCTCCCATATGCTATTATATTTGAAAGAAGCTATTCTTTCAGGTTTGTCAACTGTTTTCTCTTAGCATTCTTACTGGGTAGCTTGTAAAATTTTAAATGCCAACCTAGTTATAGATAAGTGTGTACACAGTGGTAGAAACGTTATTTGCCAGTAGGTATTTAATGCCTTTTTCCTCTCCAAATGTGTGCTGTTTACAGTGTAAACTATTTTATAATCAGATACAGGGCAATATAGTATAGGAACTTCAGTAAGTGTGAGGGAACAAGAATTCACAAAAACTAAAATAGTTCTTTGGTTCTTAGTGGTTTGGGCCCATCTGACAGGAAAATTTTAGGTCATTGGAATTTTAACCTTATTAACGGTAGACAGTGCATTGATTGGTCTTTAATAAGCAGACTTATATTTATAATTTACATTGTTGATACTTCTGCCTAGATTGGGTTTTTTATATTGTTCCTAAAACCACATCCAAAAATCACTGCATTTGAGTGAATTTTTTTTTCAAAAATCAAATTTAATTCTCAATTTGTTTCTTCAATTAAGGGATAATCACAGTTTATTCTCTAGTTAGATATGGATAATGGAGCACAAGATTTGATTCTTCAGAGACAAAGAATTATACACATCTGTACTCCCTGACTTGCTCTTAGTACCTAATTCTTTCAATTTTTAGTGTGTCTTTCATATACAGATTTGACAACAGTGATATTAAAGATACAGCTTCTGTTCTTTTGTGATAAGTCACACTTCTTTGTTCATAGACTGTTTTTCTGGATACGGAAAAAGAAGACACCTAGAGTTATTTGTATATAAGAGACCTTCAGGTTTTTGTAGACCTTTATAAGATTCTAATAACTATTTTCTATCTACATAAGTTAAATATTTATTTTCTGATAATCAGAAACTAAGATAATATCTTGTTTTAAGTATTGCTTTTTAAGAGTTTATTGTAGCCTAATTTTTCAGGTTGAATGCCCAAAATTACTTGAATTGAAGCCTCAAAATTTTAGTATTTGAATTTTCCTTAAAACAACAATCATATAAGCTATTCTTTTGAGGCTGTGTGTGTGTGTATTTTATGACTTTTAATTTGTGAGTAGGCAATTGAGGGATTAGGAGGAAAGAGGATTGAAAATGGATCCTAAGTGAAAAGAGAAGAAAGTGGCAACCCAGGTAAGGCAGCCAAAGGAGACTAACCCTTGGGGAAAAGTATGTGTATGGAAATGCATTTTTCACACAGAAATTTAATATTAAAAAGCTCTAAGGGTATTATCCTAATGAGAAACCCAGTACTTCAAAATTTAATTCAATTATATTGCTGGTAATTTTAAAAACTTGCCATTTATGGCTGGTACATTAATTTAAAAATGTAAAACCATCTTTCAGATAGCCAGCTGTCATCAGTAAGCAATGGTCAGAGAATTTTTATCGTTTCCCTTTGGATTGATGGTAATGCTTGGTTCTTCAGTCAGAGTTAAAAGGACAAACGTATGCCATCTCAAAATAAATCTTGGATTTGACAAGAATTTTTTTCTGTTTTTAGATCACTGTTATCAAAATCTGGGGATATACTATTTGGTTTGAGTTGATAGAACCTTTTCTTGTTTGTTTTCTTTAAACAAGGGAGTATGTACAAACATAAATTAACCTCATTATAAATGATAAGAAATGCTACGTAATAATATGCTCACTTGTAATATTGATTGATTTTTCAGCCTGTTAGAGTGTCAGACTATTCCTTACTTACTAAATAGAATTATTATAAGAATCATGAAATATAACCTGGAAAACAGGTAAAAAGTTTAAAATTCTGTAACTCTTTAAGGCAGTATTATTACATGTTTCTGTAGAGTAGACATAGACCATCCTTTCATGTTCTGGGTCCCTAGGTGCCTGCCATTCTTTGTTGAGAACAGCAAAGAGCTCTGTTACTGTTTTTCTTTTGCAGTGAGGAGACCTTGTCAGTAGCCTTGCCAATATTTTGTCTTTTGCCTCTTTAAGAGGAAGAATACCAAATTTTTGTCATTGTTTATGATCTTGTATTTCATATTAGTTGACTGTTAATAAAGTAAAAAAGTTAGCTTTTAAGAACATAGATTGTAGGTGTACAAATTAAATCACCTTTTGGTGTGATTTGGATGCCATTTTCTTTCTGTGCTTCACCCGTCATGAGACGATGATGTGCAAATCACTTGACTACTGCTTCCAGTGTTCAGTCTTACAGCTGAGGCTAGACTTTTTATGTTTTGCAGGGTACTTTTACATACAAACAGTACTGTCACACAGTCCCCCAAAAGGCAGGTACTTGTAGCTCCATTTCACAGATAAGTTCTATGTGTAACGTAGATTATATGATGTCATCAGCCCCTTAATGCTGGTGAATAGTAGTTTCATTTGGAACCCAGAGGTCATGAATGCGGAATGGAGTGTGCTTTCCATTCTGTCCTACTTGCTTCACGTGGCAGGTGCTCTGTAGAAACACTGCTAAGTTTCCATTCTCTCATCAGCCATTTCTCTTCACGGAGGATTGTCTAGATCTGCACTATCTGCTATGGTGGCCTCTATACATGTGGCTCTTTAAATTTAATTGAAATTAAAAATTCCAGCTTCCTAGCTGTAGTAACCACAATTCAGACCCTCTTTAGCCACATGTGGCTGGTGGCATTTTGGACAGTGAAGTTATAAAAATCTCCAATCCATCATTGTAGAAATTTCTATTGAACAGTGCTGGTACAGACATTTGGCTGTATCATTCTCGAGAAACTGAGAAGAATTCTTGGGCTACAAGTATTTTTAAAAAGGTTGTTTATTTATTTATATTTCAAGAGAGAAAAAAGGGAGGAAAGGGAGGGAAACATGATGTGTATGAGAAACAGCTATCGGTTGGCCCTGTCACACCCTCAGCTGAGGACCCGGCCTGCAACCCAGGCATGCGCCCTAATCAGGAATCAAACCGATAACCCTTTGGTCCATAGTCCAGTGCTCAATCCACTGAGCCACACCACCCCCAAGGCCAGTATTTTTTATTTCTATCCAAATAGATTTGGATTTCCCTTCCTTAGGTTGCCTTTGGAGTATGTAGCTTTCATGCCCTTCTTTGATTTGAACAAGCTGATCAAAAACCCAGCCAGATTATACAGTTTGGTTAAATTTGTAGTAAGGGATGACAGAGCACTGGAAAGAGAATCACATGATTTTGGTTCTAGGACTAGGTGTGTTACTGACGAGTTTGGGAATATGCCTGAAGCCATTGAGTAATTTGTTAAATATGAGGTGCTTACACCAGATACTATTTATTTCATAATTCTCTGATGGGAAATGGGGGTGGGAAAATGGAGGCAACCATACTTGAACAACAATAAAAAAATAAAATCAATAAAAGTATGTATTGTCAAGTGAGGATTTAAAAAAAAACAACAAAATTTGATCAGAGTTGGAGATTCTGCGTTTTGAATATTGACAGTTCAGAGCTGAAGAAGACAGCTAAGTATTTGTTCTCAAAGTACATAATGCATTTTAGAGGACAGCCACCTCCCACCATTTTATAAGGTTTTTAAAATAAGAATTCTATGATAACCATCTTGTGTGATGTTATGAAAATTTCCCAAGTGAGAATTTAAAGATCGTATTGCAGTAGTTTTGAGGAACTGATTAGAGAAAATAGGTGTTTGCCAAATGCCCTGTGTCCCTTAACAGTTAAAATATTATGCAGTTTGCCTCTGCTGTTTTTATTTACAAACAAACACGGAGCACTTAATGTGGGAGATCAACGGACTGTGAAAACACTTGCTTTGATAGGGTAAGTAATAGAGTTGTTAATTTTCTTCATTCACTGCTAATTCCAGGAGGAGGTTACCCTGTAGTCTCATAAAAGTAGCAGATGTGAATTTAGAACTCTCTCCAGTGTTATTAAGGTGTATTATGAATAATTACAGGGGCAAATTTTGCATCTTATATTAAAATGCCAAAGGCACTGAATTATACATATGCCCTCTGTGTTTAAATAGAACACCACAGATTAGCACATATACAGTGTAAGTGCTAATTCAGGTTTATGGTTGCCCCTTGAGGAGTAATATGTTCTGAATTCCAAAGAACAGTTTATAAATCTTCTAGTTTATACAGTAATCTTTTGCTGTTGTTGTTGTCACCCAAGGACAAGCTTATTGATTTAGAAAGAGGGGAAGGGAGGGAGAGAGAGGAGAGAAACATTGTTGGTTGTCTCTGGTATGTGTGCCCAGACCGGGGATGGAACCCGCAATCTAGGCAGGAACCCTGACCAGGAATCGAACTGTAGCCTTTTGGTTTGTAGAACGACACCCCAACCAACTGAGCCACACCGACTAGGGCTATACAGTAATCTTAAGTGCTGTCTTTATGACAAACTTATCCATCCCCCGGTGGAACACCACTCAAAGCCCAAAATTTGGGAATTAGAAAAATGCAAGGCTTTTTAATAGGGCTAAAAAAATAATGCAGATTACTTAATTTTTCTGGTACCTAATACTTGAAGTCTCTATTGCCATTATAAAATATATTTGAAGATCAGCAGTTAGTGTAATACTTCTTGTAATATATTGACTATATGACACTTTTTTTATACCAACCTGAGAACATGCTTATTGATTTTAGAAAGAAGGGGAGGGAGGGAGAGAGAAAGGGAGAGAAACATCTGTGTGAGAGAGAAACATTGATCGGTTGCCTCTTACACATGCCCTGACCTGGAATTGAACCCGTGACTTTTTTTGGTTTATGGAACAGCCACTCCAACTAACTGAGCCACACAGGCCAGGGAGACACTAATAAAAGTTTACTGTTGCAACAATGGTTTCTTGTTTTTCTGTTTTGTTTGTTTTTAAATGGGCCAGAAAGGCAGATAAAAGTATCATCACTTTAAGATAGAGTAGATCTCTAACTTCTAAAAATGCTTTCTAATTTGAGAATATCACTGTTATAAAAATATAAGTGATCTCATAAGTGATTACTTCTAATGAATTCTAGGTCCTAAATTTGATAGAACTACAGTTAGAAGAGAGGATTT